TCCCCTCCTCATCCTCACCTTGCCCTTCCTCATCCTCACCCGGCCCTCCTCATCCTCCTCATCCTCACCCGGCCCTCCTCATCCTCCTCATCCTCCCCCGCCCTTCCTCATCCTCCCCCAGCCCTCCTCATCCTCCCCCGCCCTTCCTCATCCTCCTCATCCTCACCCCTCGCCTTTGGGGCCTTTCATTTCCCTTTTCTTTTGGCTCCTTTTCCCTTTTTTCCCCGGTTTTTTCCCCTCTTTTTTCCCCCTTTTTTTTATTTTTCTTTTTTTCCCTCCCATCCCCTTTTCCCCCCTCTGTTTCCCCTTTTCCCCTTCTTTTTTTCACATTTTTTCATCCTTTTTTTTGGTTTGTTTTAACCCTTCCCTTCATTCCACCTCTTTTTTTCCTCCCTTTTCCCAATTTTGGCTCCTTTTTTCCCCGATTTTTTCCCCTCCTGACATTTTTTGGGGTGACACCCCCCCCATCCAGGGTGACATTTTTGGGGTGACTTTCATCCCTTTCTCCTCCCCAATTCCCAGGATTTCACCCCAAAACTCACCCCCCTCCCCCTCCTGGCTTCCCCTTTTCCCCCTTTTTTCTTTTTGGGAATTCCGGAGCTATTTTGGGATTTTTTTTTTTTTTTTTTCATTTTTGAGGGATTTTTCCCACTTTGATTTTTATTCATTTTCCCCCCATTTTTATCCCCCCCAAAGGATGCTCCCGGCCCCTCCCCCACCCCCACGAGGCCTTACCCCTCCCCCACCTCAAAATGGGGCAGAATTCCTGGATTTGGGGATTCCCCCCCACCCCTCCCCTGCTGACACAAAATGGGGCAAAACCCCCCAATTTTGGGGTTTTCCCCTGGCTCCCACCCCCCCCCCAGGGCTGGTTTGGGGTTGGGGGTGGGGGGGGGTTGAGGTTGGATTTTTTTGGGGGAAAAAGCCCCTTTTGGCCCCAAAACGCCACTGGGGGGGAGGGGAGGTGTTTGGGGCTGGGGGAACCCCCCCAAAATTCCCCCAATCCCCCCAAATCCCAAATTTTCCCCTCCCCGGCTCCCGTGGACTGAATGTGCCTGTTTTTCTAAAAAAAAAAAACAAAAATAAATGGACTTTAAAGCACCTACCTCCGACTGCCCCTCCCCCCTGCACCCCCAACTCCCCCCCGGACCCCCGAGAGGACCCGCTGGGATGGGCCCCAAAAACGGCCAAAATAGCCCCAAAAATGGGCAAAACAATCCCGAAAATGACCAAAATCCCTGAAACAGCCCAAAGTTTAACCAAAATAGCACCAAAATGACCAAAGCAGCTCCAAACTCACTGAAATGATGAAACCACCCCAAATAGCCCCCAGAATAACCCCAAAATTACTGAAATAACCCCAAAATGACTGAAGTTGTCCAAAATTATTCTGATAACCAAAAAAAAGGACAAAAACAGCCCTAAAAGCACTAAAATACCCCAAAATAACCTCCAAGTGACTCAAACAGCCCCAAACCTGACCCAAATAACCCCAAAATGACTCAAATAGCCCTAAAATAACCAAATAATCCCAAAGTGATGATGCACCCCCCAAAAATATTTTTAAAACCCAAAAGATTCCGAAATAAAACTAAAAATTGACCAAAATGGCCCCAAAAAGTCTTGGAAATGACCCCAAAATGACTGCAATACCCCAAAATTGGCCAAAATAACCCCAAAAATGACTGAAGAATGGCCCCAGAGGGCTCCAAATTGACCCAAATCCCTGAAATCCCCCCCAAAATTCCGGATCCGAGGCCTCATCCCGGTGGTTTCTCTCCTCCCTGTCCTGAGCACGATTTTGGGGGGAATCGACGGCGTTTTGGGTCAAAATGGGATTTTTTCCCCCGTTTTCATGCCCTGCTGGGGGTGGGGACGTGGAAATGTCCCAAAACCAGGGAGATTCACCCCAAAGTCCCCTCGGCGAAGCTTCACGGTTGTGTCTTATCCGGGAAAGAGCAAAACGACACCAAAACGGCTCATTTTTCGTAATAAAAGCGGCAAAAAATGGAGTGCGTGGGGTTTTTTGGGAAAAAATGACATCGGGGGGGAAATTTGGGGGGCAAAAATTGAGCAGCTTTGCAGGAATTGAGGATTTTGGGGCAAAAAATGGGGATTTCAGGGTAAAAATGGGGATTTGAGAGCACAGTGTGGATTTGGGGCAAAACTGGAGGGTTTTGGGGCTGATAGGTGCCTGGATTTGGGGTAAAAAAGCCCAATTTAGGGGCTGGGATTGAGTTGGTGCTGCCTGGTTTTTGGGCTGAAAATTCCCAGTTTTGGGACTGGGCCGTGGCTTCTCCCAGAGCCCATGCTGAGGTTGTTCCACCCTTTTTTTGGGGTTAAATCTGCCCCGTTTGGGGTTTTTTTTCCCGCCTGGAAATGCGAATTAATCCCATTCCCAGATTTATTTTGCAGCCAAATCGCCGGAACTGGGGCAAAGGCCGGCGAGCTCCGGGAATTCCAATTAATCCTCGCTAACGAGCTCCCGGGGGGTCCCCTGATGTCGGAGCCCCCTTTGGGGGTGGGGACGTCCCCAAATCCTTCTCCCCCCCCCAGAACGGCCGCGGGCGGAGCCGGATCCCGAAATTCCCACGAGATTTTATTGGGATTGAATAAATAACGTGGGGGGGAGGGGCTGGGGGGCTCCAGGGGGGTCCCGGCCCCAAAATCCCCCCGGGGGTCCCAAACCCCCCTCAGGCGCCGTCCTTGCTCTTGGTGCTGCTCAGGGGGACGGCGACGTCGTCGTCCTCGAGGTGACCCGCCCTGGAGGGACCCCGAAAGCTCCCAGCCGATCCCAAAATTCCCAAAATTTCCATTCTTCCCAATCCCAGAACCTCCAAGCCTTCCCAAAACCTTCGACGTTCTCCCCAAAATGCTCAGGTCTTCCCAAAACTCTCAACCCTACCTGACCCCAAAACCTCCATCCTCACCTCAAAACCTCCATCCCAACCCCAGAACCTCCATCCCAACCCCAGAACTTCCATCCTCACCCCAAAACCTCCATCCCAACCCCAAAACCTCCATCCCAACCCTAAAACCTCCATCCCAAACCCAGAACTTCCATCCCAACCCCAGAACATCCATCCTCACCCCAAAACCTCCATCCCAACCCCAAAACCTCCATCCCAACCCCAGAACTTCCATCCCAACCCCAAAACCTCCATCCCAACCCCAGAACTTCCATCCCAACCCCAGAACTTCCATCCTCACCCCAAAACCTCCATCCTCACCCCAAAACCTTCATCCCAACCCCAAAACCTCCATCCCAACCCCAGAACTTCCATCCTCACCCCAGAACTTCCATCCCAACCCCAGAACTTCCATCCTCACCCCAAAACCTCCATCCCAACCCCAAAACCTCCAACCCAACTCCAAAACCTTCATCATAATCCCAAAACCTTCACCCCAAACCCAAAACTTCCATCCAAACCTCCAACCCAACCCAGAACCTCCATCCCAACCCCAAACTTTCTCCATCCCTTTCCAACCCCAAAGCTCCTGGGTTCCTCCAAGAACCGATCGCGTCCCAGAACAGGGACGTTGCCCCCTGGGCAGGGTTGGGGGATCTCGGGGGGGTTTGGGGGGTCCTCACCGCCTCTCCACGTCCTTGACGGTCTCGGGCAGGGGCGCGTTGCGGGTCTCGGGCAGGAAGCAGGTGGCGATGGCCGAGATGACGGGCGCGGCGCCGTAGATGACGAGCGGCAGTGCCGGGCTGACGTCGGCCATCATGCGCACCAGGGGCGCCACCATGCTGCCCACGCGGGCCATGGTGCCCCCCAGGCCCATCCCCGTCTGCCTGTGCCGGGAGAGCCGCGTGCGGGAGGGGCGGACGGACACGGGGACGGGACGGGGACGGACACGGGGATGGACAGAGGGATGGGACGGGGATGGACACAAGGACGGACACGGGGATGGACAGACGGATGGACACGGGGATGGATGGATGATGGATGATGGATGGATGGATGGATGGATGGATGGATGATGGATGATGGATGGATGGATGGATGGATGATGGATGATGGATGGATGGATAATGGATGGATGGATGGATGATGGATGGATGATGGATGGATGATGGATGGATGATGCATGGATGGATGGATGGATGGATGGATGGATGATGGATGGATGGATGATGGATGGATGGATGATGGATGATGGATGGATGGATGGATGATGGATGGATGATGGATGGATGGATGGATGGATGGATGATGGATGGATGATGGATGGATGGATGATGGATAGATAATGGATGGATGGATGGATGATGGATGGATGATGGATGGATGATGGATGGATGGATGGATGGATGGATGGATGGATGATGGATGGGTGGATGGATGGATGGATGATGGATGGATGATGGATGGATGATGGATGGATGATGGATGGATGGATGGATGGATGATGGATGGATGGATGATGGATGGATGGATGATGGATGATGGATGGATGGATGGATGATGGATGGATGATGGATGGATGGATGGATGGATGGATAATGGATGGATGGATGAAGTGGTCAGTGGTTGGCTTGATGGATGGTTGGGTTAATGAGTGGTTGGGCTGATGACTTGGTTGGGTTCATGGAGGGTCGGGCTGATGGAAGGTGGGGTTGGCACGTGGACAGTGACTGGATGGGTGGGGGCAGGGCTGGGGTGACCCCACCCACCTGATGATGGTGGGGAAGAGCTCCCCAGTGAAGATGTAGGCGCAGTTGAAGGAGGCGGCCAAGGCGCCCTTCCCAACCACGGCGAAGGCCATGCGCAGCGTCGGCAGCTCTGGGGACCACCCAACCGTCACCCCGGCCCCGCAGCTCCTCGGGTCCGGCCACCGGTCACCCTTCACCCCTGCGGTGACCCTGCACCCTCCTGCTGCATCCCTCCCTCCCTCCCTGCCTTCCTCCTTCCCTCCATCCCCGCTCCACCTCACTGTTCATCATCCATCCCTCCATTCCATTCCATTCTCCTCCAATCCATTGTCCTCCATCCCATTCTCCTCCATCCCATTCTCCATCCCATTCTCCTCCATCCCATTCTCCTCCATCCCATTCTCCTCCATCCCATTCTCCTCCATCCCATTCTCCATCCCATTCTCCTCCAATCCATTGTCCCCCATCCCATTCTCCTCCAACTCATTCTCCTCCATCCCATTCTCCCCCATCCCATTCTCCATCCCATTCTTCTCCAACTCATTGTCCTCCATCCCATTTTCCTCCAACTCATTGTCCTCCATCCCATTCTCCTCCATCCCATTCTCCATCCCATTCTCCTCCATCCCATTCTCCATCCCACTGTTCCCCATCCCATTCTCCATCCCATTCTCCATCCCATTCTCCATCCCATTCTCCTCCATCCCATTCTCCATCCCATTCTCCATCCCATTCTCCATCCCATTCTCCATCCCATTCTCCATCCCTTTCTCCTCCACCCCATTCCCCTCATCCCTGCCCGTCCCCTCCCGGTCCCTCCGTCCCCGTGGCCGCTCCCACCGCTGGGCACGAAGATGTTGGCCAGGATGCAGAGGCCGGCGAGCACCAGGGCGCCGCCCTGGGCCGGGCGCCGGCCGAGGCAGGAGATGACCAGCACGGACAGGAGCTTGGCCGGGATGTCCACGGCGCCGAACACCAGCTGGCTCACGTAGACGTTGAAGCCGAAGCCCTGCAGGTCCATGGCCAGCCCGTAGTAGGCGAAGCTGGTGGAGAACCTGCGCCAAAATCCGACAAATCAGCACCAAAACCACCCAAAACTGAACGGATGGCCTCCAAAAGATGGAGATTGTCCAAAAGATGGAGGTTGTCCCAAAAGATGAAGGTTTGCCCTGAAAATGGGGCTTGGTCCCAAGAGAGGATTTTTTTTGCTCCAGAAGTTGTGTGTTTCTCCCAAAAAGTGGGGGTTTTCCCCCGAAAATATGGGAAATTTACCCCAAAAGGTGTTTTCCCCCTCCAAAACAAGTGGGTTGTTTCCCCCAAAGTTGTTTCTTGCCCAAAATATGAGGGTTTTTTTCTCAATGAAGGTCTGGATTTATTTTACCCAAAGATGTTCTTCCCCCAAAAGATGTTTTTTCCCTAACAAGTGAAAAACTTTCCCCAAAAACCTGAGGTCTGCCTCAAAAGTTGGGGGGATTCTATCTCTCAAAAAGTGTTTCTTTTGCACCCAAAATCAGGGCTTTTTACCCACAAATTGATGGGTTATTTCCCCGAAATGTGGTTTTTTTTTCTCCTCAATTGGGTTTTGTTCCTAAATAGTGCTTTTTTTCCAACCCAAAAAAAAACCAAACGCAGAAGTGCTTTTGGCCAGGACGCACCAGACGAAGGAGACCCCGCACGACACCGTCCTCATGCCGGGGGTCCGGGCGAGCGCGGCCACGGCCCCGCCGGGCAGCGGCGGCTCCCGGCGCACCAGAGCCCGCAGCGCCTGCGGAGATCGCCGCGATCTGCGGGATCCGCCGGGATCCGCCCGCGGAGGGCTCCGGGGGGCTGCGGAGGGGGACCCGGGGGGCTTCGGGGGACCCGAGGGGTCCCAGGGGGATTGGGGGGGTCGAGGAAGGACCTGGAGGGTCTGGGGGCATCCGGGGATCGGAGGGATTGGGGAGATCCGAGGGGTCTGGGGGGGATCCGAGGGACTGGGGGGGATCAGAGGGATTGGGGGGATCCGAGGGATTGGGGGGATCCGAGGGTCTGGGGGCAACCCGAGGGGTCTGGGGGGGATCCGAGGGATTGGGGGGATCCGAGGGGACTGGGGGGATCCGAGGGATTGGGGGGGATCCGAGGGGTCTGGGGGGATCCGAGGGGTCTGGGGGGATCCGAGGGACTGGGGGGGATCAGAGGGATTGGGGGGATCCGAGGGTCTGGGGGGATCCGAGGAATTGGGGGGATCCGAGGGTCTGGGGGGGATCCGAGGGTCTGGGGGCAACCCGAGGGGTCTGCCGGGGGTTGGGGGAATCGCGCCGATCCCACCGAGGGGATCTGGGGGGATCGAGGCCGTGGAGAGAGGGACTGGGGGAGGATTTGGGAGATCCCCCAAGATCGGGGCGGGTCAGGGACGGAGGGCGAACTGGGGGGGATTTCGAGGCAGCTCGAGGGGATTTTGGGGTTCAGAGGGGCCCCAGACCCCTCCCCACCTCCTCGCTGAGCTTGTCCCCCTCCTCCTTCCTGCCGTTGATCCGCGCGACCTTGCGGAGCCCCCGCAGGGCCAGGTCGGCTCGGCCCGAGCTCACCTGCCAGCGCGCCGACTCCACGTACAGCCTGGGCAGGGGGCGGCTGGCAGCGGGTCCCACCCCGGCTCCCAGCGCCCCCAGAGCAGCCCGAACTGGGGGGCCGGGGGTTCCCATCACCTCCCACCCTCCGCAAGGATCCCGGAATGGGCGTGGGGATCTGGGGGTCCCTGCACCCCAAAGATCCCAGACTGGGCGGGGGGATCTGGGGGTCTCTGCACCCCAAAGATCCCAGATAGGGAGGGGGGATCTGGGGGTCTCTGCACCCCAAATGACCCCGGACTGGGAGGGGGATCTGGGGGTCTCTGCACCCCAAAAATCCCAGACTGGGATGGTGGGGGAAGGCCTGGGGGTCCCTGCATCCCCCCCCCACCCCAAAGGACCCTGGACAGAGGGGTCAGGGGAAGGTCAGTGGCAACCTCAACACTTGAGGGGGGGCCTTTCCCAATCTTTAAAGACCCCAGACTCCCAATATCCCCTTTTCTCCCCCAAAATCAGGACAGGGGTGGGCACCAGGGATGGACACGGGGGTGGACATCGGGGGTGGACACCGGGGGTGGGCACTGGGGGGTCCTGTACCATGAGTAGAAGAAGAAGACGAAGAAGGGCAGGGACACGGCGAGCTGGAGCTGCCGCCAGCGCGGGAGCCCAAAGGCCACGGCCGCCAGCACGAACTGGCCAAGGGTGTAGCAGTAGCCATTGATGGTCCCCACCACGGCCCGCGCCTCCGTCGGGATCCACTCCATGCCTGCGGCACCACCGCGGGGTCAGGGGCTGTCCCAGGGGGCCCTGGGGTGGGCCTGGGGGTTGGGTTCCTCACGTGGGAGGTTGGGTCAGTGGGGTGGGGTCAGTGGGGATGGGTTGGGTCAATGGGGATGGGTTGGGTCAATGGGGTTGGGTTGGGTCAATGGGGTTGGGTCAATGGGGTTGGGTCAATGGGTTGGGTCAATGGGGTTGGGTTGGGTCAATGGGGTTGGGTCAATGGGGTTGGGTTGGGTCAATGGGGTTGGGTCAATGGGGTTGGGTTGGGTCAATGGGGTGGGGTCAATGGGGTGGGGTCAATGGGGTTGGGTTGGGTCAATGGGGTTGAGTTGGGTCAATGGGGTTGGGTCAATGGGGTGGGGTCAATGGGGTTGGGTCAATGGGATTGGGTTGGGTCAATGGGGTTGGGTCNGTGGGGTCAATGGGGTTGGGTTGGGTCAATGGGGTTGGGTTGGGTCAATGGGGTTGGGTTGAGTCAATGGGGTTGGGTCAATGGGGTGGGGTCAATGGGGTTGGGTTGGATCAATGGGGTGGGGATGGGGTTGGGTCAATGGGGTGGGGTCAGTGGGGTGGGGTGGGGACCCTCCCATAGATCATTGGGTTTGGGGCGGGTGTGTGGGTCCCCGCGGGGTCCTGGGCGGTGGCTCACAGAGCGAGGCGGAGTTGAGGGACACGCCGGCCATGGCCAGCCCGGTCAGGAAGCGGCACACGCAGTAGATCAGCAGGGACGGGGCAGCCGCCGTGCCCACCCCCGTCGCCCCCAGCTGCAGGTAACACCAGGTGAGCAGCACCCGGCGCCCGAACCTGCGGGGACACGCACGGGAGGGACTGGGAGCACTGGGAGCACTGGGAGGGACTGGGAGCACTGGGAGGGACTGGGAGCACTGGGAGGAACTGGGAACACTGGGAGGGACTGGGAGCACTGGGAGGGACTGGGAGGGACTGGGAGCTCTGGGAGCACTGGGAGCACTGGGAGCACTGGGAGGAACTGGGAGCACTGGGAGGGACTGGGAGCACTGGGAGGGACTGGGAGGGACTGGGAGCTCTGGGAGCACTGGGAGGGACTGGGAGCACTGGGAGGAACTGGGAGCACTGGGAGGGACTGGGAGGGACTGGGAGCTCTGGGAGCACTGGGAGCACTGGGGTGCTCTGGGGACACTGGGAGTGATGTGGGGACAGAGGGGGACAACCCACGCTGGGACAGACCCACCCTGGGGACACTGGGACAGCGGGGGCCAGAGGGAGCAGAGAGCACGCCACCCCTCTCCCCCTTCCCAGCACCTCCCAGTTCCTCCCAGTTCCTCCCAGTTCCTCCCAGTCCAGCGCCGGGGGAGCACGCACTTGTCGGAGAGGACCCCGAAGAGGCAGGAGCCCAGCAGGATCCCGGCCATGTAGATGGACTGGGCCACCTGCTTCAGCTTCTTGGAGTCACACACCAGGTCCCACTGCCACGGGAGGGGACACGGGGTCACCACGAGGGTCACCACGGGGGTCACCACGGGGGTCACCACGGGGGTCACCACAGGGGTCACCATGAGGACACCACAAAGATCACCACAGGGGACACCATGGGGGTCACCACGGGGACACCATGGGGGTCACCATGAGGACACCACAAAGATCACCGCAGGGGTCACCATGGGGACACCATGGGGACACCACGGGGGTCACCATGGGGGTCACCATGGGGACACCACAAAGATCACCGCAGGGGTCACCACGGGGACACCATGGGGACACCACGAGGCCACCGCAGGGACACCGGCATCCCCCCACCCTGGGCGACCCCGGGGCGTCGGCCCTGCCTCACCTCAGTGACGATGGTGTCGGTGAAGATGCCATCCAGGTACGTCCAGCCGTCGCGGCACGGCTCGGTGGCCGCCCCGGCGGCCGTGCCGTTGGCCGCGGCGTCGGCCGAGCCGTTGACGTCCAAGAGGTGCCACTGGAGCTCCACGTAGCGGCGGCAGCTCTGGGGCCGGCGGTGGCCGTCCAGGGGGATGGACACGACCGGGGGGACGCCGGCCGCGGTGGCGTTGGCCGCGGGCCGGGCCCGGCAGTGGTGCGCGGGGGTGCCGGCGGTGAAGTTCTGCAGGAGGTTGTGGCTGGCCAGCATGAGCAGTGGCGTGGCCAGCGCGGCCACGTAGGTCACCTGGAAGCGGCCCATGCCACCCAGGCGGGCCAGCAGCTCCACGAAGGACATGGCCGGAGAGGGCACGGAGCTGGACACGGCCCAGGTCAGCTGCGGGTGGGGAGAGGAGGGAAGGGTGAGGGATCGATCGATCGATAGATCAATCAATCAATTGGTCTATCAGATGGGCCAACTGATCTGTTGATTGATCCATCCCTTGATCAATGGACTTGTCTGTCTGACTGATCAATCTGCTGACCAGTCTATCAATCTATCAATCTCTATTGATCCATTAATCTGTCTCTCTGATCTATCAATATATTGATCTCTTATCTATCAATCAATCCACCTATCACCATCACGCTCACTCTATTCATCAATCAATCAGTCACTGATTATTTCTTGTTCTCAGCTCCCCCCAGCCCTTCCCAATTAATCAGTCTATCAAGCAATCAATCGATCAATCAATCAATCTTCTGTCCCCGGTCCCACCAATCCCCCAGATCCCTCACGATCAATCGATCCCCACCTGCTCTCCTCCTCCTCCTCCTCCCCGGCCGCTCCCGGCTCCGGCTCTCGGGACCGGCCGTCCCTCTGTCCGGCCGGCCGTCCCTCTGTCCGGCTCTCGGGACCGTCCGTCCCTCTGTCCGGCCGGCCGTCCCTCTGTCCGGCTCTCGGGACCGTCCGTCCCTCTGTCCGGCCGGCCGTCCCTCTGTCCGGCTCTCCGGCCGTCCCTCTGTCCGGCTCTCGGGACCGTCCGTCCCTCTGTCCGGCTCTCCGGCCGTCCCTCTGTCCCTCCGGCCGTCCCTCCCTCGGCCCCGCCCCCGGCCCCTCCTTCACCCCTCGGTCAATCCATTGATCCATGGATCAATGGATTGCTTCACTCTCTCTGCCCATTTATTGATCCTTAGCCTGTCAGCAAATGGATTTCCTGCTGATAATAACCTATTGATCGATCTATTGATCCCCCTGCCAATCAATACAGTGAGTTCTTCCTCTATTGATAGATTATTGATTACTAGACTCCCTTTAGCTATAATAGGTTGATCATAATTAGTCCATGATCTCTTTTTGTATTAGTTTATTGATCTATATGTTTTTGTTATTGATCTATTGACCTATTGACTGATCTATTAATCTATTGATGGCTTGGTCAATCAATCTATTAACCTAGAGGGATCTCAATTGATCCATCTGTTAGTCTGTGTATCTCTAGTATCAATAAATTGATCTCTCATCTGTTGATCCAATTAGTCTCTATTTTTCTATTGATGAATCTATTGAACCACGATCAACAAATCAGAATAATGATCTACTTCTCCACCAATCATTCAGTTATTGAGTTATAATCTATTTATCAATGTTTTCATATTAACATCTCTATTGATCCGTCCCTTGGCCTGTAATCTTCCTATTGATTGATTTATTGATCTTTAATTGCTCTCTTAATTGATATATTGACCTTTAATCCCTCTATTTGTTGACTTATTCATTTCAATCTCTCTATCGATCAACCTCCTGACCTATAATCTCTCTATTGATCAGCCCTTTCCTCCATCAATCGATCTGTTGAGCTTTGATCTCTGTCCTGCCCTCGCTGGGCTCTCGGTGACCCACCCATCGATGTCTCTATTGATCACTCACCTGTCTGTCGGTCCCGGCGGCTCCCGGCCTCTCCCAGCACCAGGTCCCGGAGCCCTCGGCCGGCCGCTGCCACCCCCCGGCCCCGTGGCTGCCCACGGCCCTGCCCTGCCCCCGGCCTGGCCCCGCTCCTATTTAAGGCCGCCCCGGTCCCGGTTAACGTTTGACTCTGCCATGGATCGGTGGAGACGCTCCCGGGGCGGAATCGCCGGTGCCAGGCCCACCCGGGACACCCGACGGCTGCCCCTCCATCCCACCCAAGCCATCCTCTTCCTCACCCTGGAAGCCCCCCGGCCCCGGCAGCTGGGGACCCCCGGCCCCCTCTGGCCCGTTCTGCTACTCCAGCGTGGATCATGGATGAGGCAAAGTCCCGGGAGCCCTGAACCGCATCCCTGGGAGCCCCTTGGACCCCGGGCAGGAGGGCACCGGGGGCAGCGGAGCATGGGGGGACGTGGGGGGGGACGGGGGGGCTGGACACCCGGATCGGCGCCGGCCGGAATGGCGTGGGCCGGGTGTGGGCACGTGGATCCTCAGGATCCCTGGGTCTGTGACATCCCCACGCCCTCAGAATGTCAGGATCCCAGGGGTGCCTGGGCGGTCTGGATCCCCGGGATCCCGGATCCCCGCACATTCAGGCACCGGAGTCTCTGGTCCTTGGGATCCCTGGGTCTTTGGGATCCTCGGGATCCCTGAGGCCTCGAGATCCCTGAGCTCTTGGGATGTCTGGGCACCTTGGGGCCTGGATATT